AAGATAAAAGGAGGGAGAGATTTGTAAGATTATTATAACCATATAATGAAAGTAGTGTTAGCATGCATGACTTTGATTTCCCAGGCTGCTCTACCTTGAAGGGCCAAGAGGAGTTTATTTTATTTATTTTATTTGTTTGTTTAACATGTACAAGATAACAAGTCCGGGTATGAACATAAATAAGACAAAGGAAGTAAATACAGATAAATAGGGACACTAAGACAGGGACGGTAGGCACAATGGTGCACTTATGCACGCCCCTTACAGACCTCTTAGGAATGGGGTGAGGTCAATAGTGGTTAGTTTGAGGTTAAAGGAGTGGGGGTTTGAGGATGTAACAATGGAGTCAGGTAGGGCGTTCCAGGCATTGACCACTCTGTTGCTGAAGTCATACTTTCTGCAACCGAGTTTGGAGCAGTTTACCTTGAGTTTGTATCGGTTGTTTGCTTATGTATTGTTGTAATTGAGGCTGAAGAAGTCGTTGACAGGTAAGACATTGTAGCAGACAATTTTGTGTACTATGCTTAGATTGGACCGCAGGCAGCGCAGTTCTAGAGTGTCCAGGCCCAAAATTTCGAGCCTGGAGGCATCGGGAATTCTCATGTGACTGGAGGAATGGAGTTTGAAGAGTCCTTGGTGCTCTCTGAACTTGCTTGTTTTCTTGCTGATGTTTCATTACCCTACCTAGGTAACATCATCAGTGCTGGAGGAGTTTGTTATGAGTTTTCCTCTTGGCTCTTCACCAAAAGAAGAATCCAGAGTAGATGTAGTTGAGTTCAATGGAAGAAATTGGGACCTGCTTGGCTTCAGTTGCCATCAGGATTAAATGTGACACAAGTAAACTATCTCTCCACTTTTGTCCTGTCGAAAAGACCTTGAGGCATCGGACTAGGGTGAGAACATGGATTTCCAGAAAGGTTGGATCTGAGAAGATCTATTGTTATTACCATATGTGTCCAGCAGAAAGAGAACATGGGATGAGTCCAAGAGTCCTGTCCTTAGGATGAGTGAGGAATGTCCCTCTGATCCTAAAGGGTGGATCACATGAGCTTCTCTCTGAGTCCATACTTGGAGTATTCAAGCTAAAATGAAACCATGAGGGATACATCTGAATTTGAAGGACCAGTCCCAAGGCTTGATAAAGGCACACATTTTTATTTCATCTTGGTGTGCCCCACAACTGGCTTTGGGCTCTCTGTTGAAAGAGACTTCCCTTGACCCTTTGAATATGTCTTCTTTAAAGCTGCAAGAAGAAAACAAGGGAAAGAAATGTAGGCAGGATCTCCTAAAGAATCACCACTTCATGCATGGAATATCTTGCATTTTTCCTAATAGGAGAGATTTGATAGAAGCTGCTGCGGTTTCTATTGTTCCTCCATTAGATTAGTGTTACTCTCCCTCTTACAGACAGGATGACTTAATCGGCAGAGCGAAGAGATACTCTCTGGAGTTGTGCTCTTTGCTCAATCCTCACAGCGTTCATTATATTATGCATTCAGGGTTGAAGGAAGAAGAAGAAGCTGAAAGTTACAATTATGTTAATCTGAATCTCTCGACAATACAGACCTCACTTTTTCTTCGGTAGCTTCTCCATAGCTTCTTCAACTTTTTCAAAAGAGAGTGGAATCACAGGGAGAAAGTTTCTGGACAAAGTTTTCTAGTTTTCTGGATTTCTTCTTTTCCTTTACTGATTGGTTGTTGCTATGGTTGGCATAGTAAGCCCTCTATGGTTTCCTTCAACCCAAGGCGGGCTATCTATTCTGTGCGCACATAAATAACATGGAAGGAGAAATCAAGGTAGACTTGACTTGCTACAGGCATATTCTCAGTGTCCCTTGACCAGTTGTCCCAAAGGTGCTTCCTTTCAAAAGGCAACTAGACTTTCTTTGTTTTTGTTTGAAGACCTTTCGCTCTCATCCAAGAAGCTTCTTCAATTCTGACTGAATTGTGGAATATTTATATTCCTTGCAGCCATCTGGTCATTAGCCCTCTTTCTGAGAGTCGTTGAGGCCATTTGGAGATTGATCTGTGCCCTCAGGGTCACTTCCAAGTGGCCTCAACGATTCTCAGAGAGAGGACTAATGACCAGATAACTGCAAATCCTTCCATTCTCCACCATTCAATCAGAATGGAAGAAGCTTCTTGGATGAAAAGCAAAACATCTTCAAGCCAGACAAGAAAGTCCAGATGCCTTTTGAAAGAAAACACCTTTTGGTCCAACCACAACCTTGAATAACTGAGAATCTCTGTAGATTTTCTCATTATGAATTCTTCCCACTTAGCACAGGCATTGGGGGCCTCACTCCCATCAGTTTGGGTCACTCAGTATATTGTGGTAACCCCTGATCTTGCTTTTCTTTTCTTTTTTTAAATTTTTTTTATTGGTTTTTAAAACAAACATAAACAAACAAGACATAAAAACATCAAGCCATCTTCCATATATATATATACATACAGTGTGCCAGTTGGTTTACAAATTGTTTTGTGCTTCCATTTCGTAGTCTTCAATTACAATTACATTGTATATACTCTCGTATTTTCAATCAAATATTAAATACATTAATATCATTATTAATCAATCATTTGACTATACTTTTATTCATTCATGTTTTACAGAATAATCATATTTTACTTAATTTGTTTTATGACGGTTCATATTATCATCCCAAATCTATCCGAATATCATTTTGTAGATATAATAAGAAAATAATACATCTTTATATATTTATTATTTTCTAAGAATCTACATATTTCATTACTATATTTTATTGTCTAACCATTGATAGAATAGATCCCAAATTTTGTAAAATTGTTTATCCTCTTGTTCTCTAATTTCAAATGTCAATCTACTCATTTCAGCACATTCCAATATTTTCTTAATGATTTCCTCCTGTGATGGTGTTTTCTCATTTTTCCAGTTTTTAGCAAATACAATCCTAGCCGCTGTTAATACATTTACAATCAGGTATTTCAAGTCTTTACTATATATTTCAGGTAAAATTCCCAATAAAAATACCTCTGGTTTCAAATCTATATGCTTTTTTGTCATTTTTTCCAACCACGTGTGGATTTTAGTCCAATATTTTTTAGCATCCGCACAAATCCACCACATATGGTAATATGAGCCAGGTGTCTGATGACATTTCCAACATTTTTCGGATTTATTCTTGAACATTCTTGCTATTCTTGTCGGGGGGGAAATGCCACGTGATCCTGCTTTTCTAGCAGCCTGGTTTACCAGTTCTCTGGAGAACTAACCCTTGGGAGATAATAGATTACTGCCGTCACAGAATAAATGTAACCCAGTTCCCAAATTAAGCCATTTCCTAATTGTGCATTAAATCATCAACTTAATAGGGTTGGTGCACTGAGTCTCACCCACCTACACACAAAACCTAGCAATCTAACTAGCACCAACCAAGCTTAGCCTTTGCATAAATGAATTCAACAGGACTTTGACTGACCCGGGGAAATGTATTGTCACAAATGTAAAAGCCCTGTGTGTGTACGCCCGTGTGCGTTTTTAATTGCTATTTTAACTGCAGCAATTTCAGATTGCATCTTTGATTGTGGGGTACGTTGTCCCAGATCTCTGAACTGGGTAAATGAATTAAATAATAAAGTAAATGCAATGTGACTGGTACAAAAAAACATGGCAGGATCATGTGAGAAAAACGTGCAGGTAGACAACAGTGAGGAAGGGAAGAAATAAAAATAAAATGAATGGGCTGTTTACCACCCGGTGCTGTTGTCAGGATAAAGCAAAGAGAAAGAGAAAGGAGAGGGTTGATACGGATCCTTCTCGGAAGCAGAAGATGTGATATCCATGCAAAGATCTCTACGTTTTAAAAATAGAAAATCTTGCCTGATGCTTGATGCCTGTTTCTGACCAGGTTGAGGTTAGCTGGTCAGATGGATGGAGACCACAATGCATGTATAATTGAGTTTTGTTTTGATGGCAGTTGGTTCGCCTAGGGCTGCCATAACTAGATTGCAAACACTAATCCCACCTCTGACTGGCCCTGCCCCCATCTATTCTTCCCTCCTGAGTCCCAGCTGATTGGCTGGGTCTTCTGTAGTTGCCCTGCACAGGAGAACGGAGCTGGAAAGCAGGTTAGTGGGGTGGGAATTGGGATTTTGCAGTATATCCTTCCCCTGCCATGCCCACCAAGCCATGCCCACAGAGCCGGTAGTAAAAAAATATTGAATCCCACTACTGCTGCAGGGTGCTTAGATCTGGCCCACAGGGCCACCCTGAAAACAGCAAAGGACCAACCCGCGGTACTTCTGCGTGTGCCCCCTCTCCCTGGGCTCCGTTTTTTGCTGGCAGCGGGCTATCCAAACAACCCAAAAACAAAACAAAGAGGAGAAATGTTTCTCCTTTTGCATTTGAGCATGCAAGAAGGGACAGGAGAGGAGAAAGGGAAAGAGGAAAGACAAAGAAAAAGAAGGGAAGAGAGCAAGGAAGGAAAAAGAAGGAAAGAGGGGAAGGATGAAGGAAAGAGAAGGAAGAGGGAAGGAAAAAGGAAGAAAAGGAAGGAAGGAAGGAAGGAAGGAAGGAAGGAAGGAAGGAGAGAGATTCTGAGACTCTGCAGGAAGTCCTGCCTTAGCACTTGGGCCACCATAGGTGCCCCAATACGAACGATGTGGAGCTTTGCCACGCCCACCATGGCCTCCCGTGATGAAACACAACTCTGATGCGGCCCTCAATGAAATCGGGTTTGACACCCCTGGAATCGCAGTTGAAGTATTGACGTATGACTGAGAAAAGGCTAAAAAGTGAAGGCATTGTTGTCTTTTGATTATTGGGAGGATTGATTCTGTGGGTACCTTCACCTGTCACACACACCACCCTATGTCCCAAGATGATCAACACTGAGTCACAATTTTGGTTTTGCAAGGCGATGTTGAAAGTTCTTGCTTATCCGTTCACTTGGGAATACCAGTAATATTTCTTTCCTCTTTCCGCTTGCTGGCTGACTCTCCGTGGGGATCCCCAGTGTGTCAGATCCTTCCCAAAGGAGTGGTTGGTGTCCTGGGCCCATCCTCAAGTCCTGCTTCCAGCTCCATCATCAGCAATATCTGTGGGGAAAAAGAGGTGAGTGGCATCAATTTTGCTCCCCGCGGAAAATTGCAACTTGTAAATGCTCAAGGGTAAAAGCAGGTTTTCTACCTAGAAATTCTCAGGATCGATGTCCTCCCCCCCCCCCAGATGTTCCTAATATCTATCTATCCATGTAGCTATAATCCATCTATCTATCCTTCTGTACCTCCATCCATTCTATCCAGCTTATCCATCCATTAGTTTGAGAGAGAGAGAGAGAGTTGTTCTGAGCCAGGCTTCCTAAACTGTAATCACACACAAACTTATTTTAAAAACAAGACTTATTTTATTGCAACGCTGAGAATTGTTTTCATTCTCAGCCGGAATTAACCTCAAACAGTCCCCCAGTTCTGTGAAGTGCTGCTAAAAACAGAAGTATCAAATGAACTAGAAAAGAAACCAACCGAACTACAAAAAAAAAAAAACACAACTGAAGTACAAAGAGCTTCAAGGATGACTCTGAACCGATCAAACTACTTTGCTTCCTGCAAAGGTTTCATCATCTTGGCCTGACTTTTATCCCTTATGGGAGGGGCAGTCACCTCCCAGCCCTACTCCTGAGTCTCCCCTTTTATTTCAGCTGTTCTTGCCTTCTAGCAGCTCTGCACACACGCGCACTGGGAACAGGCTCCCCTGGGTCCTCTGCCTTGCTGATGCCAGACTCCAAAGGCTCCGGAGTCAGCACCCCACTTCCAGATGGTCCTGGCCCCACCTCTGCATCAGATGCAGGACCCTCGTCCAAGTCCTCTCCAGACTCCCTGACTGGTCCCTGTTCTTCCTATTGCCCAGTTCCTCTGCTGTCCGCACTGGCTGCCGGCAAACCACAACAAGAGTATCAAGCTTTAAAATTCTTGTGGCCATTTGCAGGCATGATAACCTGACGATTTCACACAATATATACCTGACCAGCTGCTGACAGCCTCAAAATAAATCAATGCAAGTTGAATTGGTAACTGAAGGGCCATTATAGCAGCTTGTGGAGTTCAGATGGCCCACTCCCTGCTGCCAGGGGCAATGCCCCCGATGGCCCATCAGTCCGTTCTACTTCCTCTCCTTCCCTCTGCCATCTCTCCACTACTGTTGCCAACAGTTTCCTGGCTCATGCTGAGCTGGAGAATATTCATCAGTGTCAGATTTCCACCATGAGCCCTTCTTCAGATATTTATCCTGATTAACAGCATCACGTCCCATTGACCCTAACTTTTTTTTTTTAAGCTGGCTTCATTTCAAAGTTCTTTTTTTCCCCCTCCCCAAACAGCTATCAAGTTCCTCTTTGTCCTGGAAAGGTTGTTATCAGATAGTTTGATTTTGCAATCTCAGTGGCTCTTCCAGAAACTTTGCAGTGGTTTCAAAAGAGAAGAATCAGTGCAATCAGGAGAGGAGAGAATCAGGAGAAAAAGAAAAAAAAGGGGGGGGGGACGGGGAAAAGTCAAGGTCACAGGAAGTTAGAGGAAAACCAAAGAAAGGATCCCAAGCTTAGAAGAAGACAACACAATGACCTTGTCTGGAACCGGAGGTGGCATTCAGCGGGTTCTGACCAGTTCTGGAGAACCGGTAGTGGAAATTTTGAGTAGTTCAGAGAACCGGCAAATACCACCCCTGACTGGCCCCGCCCCCATCTATGTTCCGCCTCCAGAGTCCCAGCTGATTGGCTGGGTCTCCTTTGGTTGCCCTGCACAGGAGAACGGAGCTGGAAAGCAGGCTAATGGGGTGGGGAGGGAAGGGGGACTTTGCAATATCCTTCTTCTGCCACACCCTCCAAGCCACGCCCACAGAACCAGTAGTAACAATTTTTGAATCCCACCACTATCTGATATCCATGCCCTTGAGTGAAATGCATAGGTTTGTCTGTGTCTAGGACAAAACCCTCCCAAATGTTTTGTTTTCTTGAAGGACAATTTCCACGGGAGCAGAACGCCGTGTCCTATCAAAGTGTAATACAATGCATTAAGAAATTGGACACCTCTGTAGTCTTTAAAGTGACCCTGTTATTTTGCTTCACAAGGTCGATGTTTGATGCCCATGATACCTGATTTTATGAGTGTATTTTGTGGTACCTCTCCCAGGATGATTTTTTAATATATAGACAGCTCTGCCCTCCATATAGATAGATAGATAGATAGATAGATAGATAGATAGATAGATAGATAGATAGATAGATAGATAGATAGACAGACAGACAGACAGACAGACACACAGAGAGAGAGATCTGTACTGTTAACTATGTCCTATATTTTATTTATCTGATTTAGCTAAGCCATTAGTTTATGGGGTCTTAAAGCCCTGAACAATTTGTCAGCTTGAAAGTGCTGTATGAATTACGGCTGGATTTCCTTTTCACTGAATGTGAAGGATCACCGATAGAACCTGCCTTGTATTGTCCTACAAAAACCTTCACAGAACCAGAGAGACAATCAGGACAAATAATCTCCAATGAGCAAGGAGGATTTGTCATAAGGTGCAGCAGTTGTACAAGGCGGAGGAATATGAAATAAGAATTGTGCCTGGTCATTCTGTGACTGCAGGGCTGACCCCGAGCCCCTCACGCTTCGCAGGTCTTTTGCCTAAGCGGTGGCATGTGGCACAATGCTCAAATTCCATGCAGGACTGCTGAGCGAAGCCACCAGTCTATCCTGAGGGATGCCTTGAGTCCTTTCACTGAAGGTAGTAGGCTGGAGGACAAGGTGTCTCCTGCCTCTGACCTTCCCAAGGTCTGTGGAGTAAAATCAAGGCAGAATGTCCTTTGACTTTGTGATTTCCCAGCAAACTGCTTAGACCAGAGGTGTCCAAACTTGCCCATTTGAAGACTTGAGAGCTTCAACTTCCAGCATTCTCCAGCCAGCCATGATGGCTGGGGAATTCTGGGAGATGAAATGTTACTTTCTCCTGCAAAACATAGTGAGAAAAATGACAAAATAATGAAGCTGGAAGGGACCCCGGAAGTCTTCTAGTCCAGCTCCCTGTGTTCTGACCCACGCCCTTTTCCAACAAATCAAACACAACCCAAAAGGAACAGAAACATTGTAATGCTTTTACAAAATAATTAGTTGTGATAAGCACAAGTCTTGCCAAACTGTGCAAAACTTGCCAAAAGATAACAGACAAGAAGTAATTTGCAAAATAAGAATCTTCAGATACAAACTCAGGATACTGGAATGTCCACGAGGCAGGAGTTTCAAAATGTCTTTGCCTTCTGCAAAGTACGTTTGTTTCACAGCTGGCTTTTATTTTCTTGAAGGAGGGGCCATTACCTTGCAGCCTTACTCCTGAGTCACCCATGCTGTGTAACTGCTCTTTCCTCCGAGCAATCCTGAGCTCACGCGCACTTAGCACAGGCTCCTCAGAAACCTCCTCATCACTGCTGCCAGCCCCCACAATCTCTGAAGGCAGCAATCCATTCCTAAGGGTCCTGGCCTCTCATCTGAGTCCTTGCTCTCCTCAGCCATCAGCACCTGCTGCAGGCTAACCACAGCATCCTGCTTAAGCAGGAGATCCTATACCACTCCAGACAAATGGTTGTACTGTTGTCTACTTTAAAGGAGGATATCTGTAGCTCAGAGTTGAAATGAGGGGTCTTTGGTGCTCTCTGGCTTTGCTTGCATGCATGTTGGCTGGGGAATTCTGGGAGTTGTAAATCCACAAGTCTAAAGCTAACAAGGTTGGACACCTCTGGCTTAGGTCTTCGGTAGAATAGACAGAATAACTAACCCCTCAAAGAAGAACAAAATTGCAGACCTGGGCGAGTTGTTTTGGGATATCCCCAAGCACAGAAGCAACAAGGAATTGACTGTTGCTCCTAATGAAGAGGAACCAGTTATTTTTCCTGGGTGTTTCTTTGAAGACATGCATGTTGAAACACAAAACAAAGCAGAAAATTTCCCTGTTCCTGCCTTTCACCAACGTTCCTGATCTCTTGTCATTTTCTCACAGCTCTTTCCTGCGAAGAGTTCCATAACCTCATGTCCTAAGATGAATGCAACATTTTTAAAAAAAATAAATAAATTGCTGCAATGTCCTTTACTGACAGCCTAGTGTTGCAGTGCATCAAAAGACTCGCCTTCCCTTCCCCTGATTGATTAATGAGCTCTCATTAATATTAATATTATTGGCAATAGAATATTAATGATTTTAAATTAGCTCAACAGATGCACCACAGTGGAAAACTGCTGGCCGAATGTAATTATTTGTGATGAAATTTTTAAAACAGAGTAATTGGGAGAAGTTGGCAAGCAAACCTTCTCGGTCCTACAGGATAATGCTGAATTTTGCATTTTGGATCTGTCACGCACCGAGAGATGGCTGGAAGATGGTTCAGCTGGGAGGTTTGACCGGAAAGCATTTGGGCCAAATGCTCTGAATGGAATTACAGTTTGGAGTTGGATTGATAGTTCAAGTCTATTTGCTGGCAGGAAAAATATTATCCCCAAATTCAGCTGTTTGAGAATGTTTTCTCATAAGCCCATCACCTCTTTTCACTTCAAACTCACTCAGAGAATCAAAGCAGAGCAATTCAATAGTTCAAATCAAAGCATCAATTCAGATGTAATTGTCTAAATACGTTTGAGTCGTCAGAACCATAATCTCAGTTGAAACAATGATTGGATTTGAACTGAATCTGAGCTGATCAGCGCAGCTTTCGCAAAATCCCCTACGGAAATTTTGTGTGGCTTTTTTGTTGCCTGTGACAATCAACAAGCTCACAGCAAGTTACGCTCATAGCATTAAAACACACACCTGGTATAAAGCAAGGTAAGGAAGGCATTAAAAACAAAAGAATAAAAAGTTAAAATAAATATAGTGGGAGCAATCAAGCGAATAATGAAGGCAAAGAATTGGTCCCGTTTAAGAATCAAAAGCCCACTTTAAAGTCATTTTTTTCTAAGGTCTAGAAAGTGATGAAGGAGTCGACTGAATTTCAGGAGACAAGAATTTTATAACCTTGATGTCACCAATGGGAAAACAGTACCTCCATTTTCCTTTGCTCCAAACTATGAGCAGATTCACTCAGGAGTTTGTAGAGATTCTCAGTTGTTCAGGTATATGGTTGTCCCAAAGGTGCTTTTTTCAGGAGGCAACTGGACTTCCTTGTTTCTTCTTTGAAAGACGTTTTAGGATGAACACACTTTGAATGGCGTGGGAATAAGAATGGATTTCCAGACCAAAAAAAAATGCAGACTACAGGAACCAGGAGCATCACTCAGGTGACTCTGAGGACACAGATAAACCTCCAAGTGGCCTCAATGACCCTCTAAAAGGATGCAAATGACCAGCTGTCTGCAAGGAGTATCAATCCTTCCATTCCCCACCTGAAGAAACTTCTTGGAGGAGAAGCGAAACATCTTCAAAAGAAAAAAGGAGAAAGTCCAGTTACCTTTGGGATTCACCCAGGAGCTCCCCACCTGGCAGGTCAAAATTAAGATGGACAAGGGGCTCCTTCAGCCCCAAATCATGGATGGCTTTAAAGGTCAAAAAACAGCAGCTTAAATCATCCTTGGAAGAGGATCGGGAAATTAGCACAAGGGCCCAGAGCGGTGGTGTTACATGCCTGTATTGGCAAGTACCTGCCAATCGTTTGGCCGTCACACTCTGGACTAATTAGAGCTTCTGTGTGGCCTTTAATGTTTCTGAGATATGACGTCTCATAAAATCTAAGAATGTTGAGCAATTATTCATCCAACCTTTTGCTGGAGGCAGAATCTGCTGCAGCGTTTCAGACAGATGACTATCCAGCTACAGTTAGGAGAATAGAAGAACTTCATTTTTTAACAGCAGAAAAATGTACCTTGCCTTTAGGAAATTGATCGTTTCTTGTCTCGATAGAAGATAATATTTGTAGCTCAGGGTTGAAATGAAGAGTCCTCAGTAGTCTCTAAGCTTGGTTGCTTTCTTGCAGATGTTTCATTACCCAACTATATAACATCACCAGTGCTAGGAGGGAGTCTGACTGAGAGTAAACCCGTCTCCCTTTTAGCCCTGATGACATTACCTAGTATGGTAAAGAAATGTCTGCAAGAAAAAACAACCAAGCTAAGTGAGCACCAAGGATCCCACAAATCCCTACTCACAGTCACTCATGTCCTAGTCACTTCCCGTCTTAACCATTGCAATGCAATCTACTTAGAGCTGCCTTTGAAGATCATCCAGAATCTCCAGTTGGTGCAAAATGCAGCAGCCTGCATGGTTTTGTGCAGACCCCGGTGTGCACATGTATCACCTCTCCTGCGGGAGCTGCATCGGCTGCCGTTTTGCTTCCGAGGTGCAATTCAAGGTCATGGCCAGGGACCAGGTGATCTGAGGGACCGTCTCTTGCCGGTCACAAATACCCGGCCCATCAGAGCGAGGAGGCAGGGAATGTCCCATCCCCGAGGGAGATACACCTGGTGGGACCCAGAAGAAGGACCTTCTCCGTGGTGGCTCCCTCTCTCTGGAACATCATCCCCCCGCCACTCTAACACTCTTCCGGAAGGCGCTGAAGACCTGTTTCTGCCAGCAGGCCTGGGGAACGCAGAGCGGGATGGACTCCATTAAATGACTCGTATGAGGTGCTGTCGCCGGCGCAGAGGGTGATTTTATGAAATATGGTTCTCTCTTTTATAAGTTTTATTGTTTTTATACAAGGTTTTTATATTCTTGTAAGCCTCCCTGAGTCACCACCAAATGACCATCAGAGCATTAGTATTTCCTATATTATTATTATTAGCACACTCTGATGCTAAGGAGTCCCCCTCCCCACCTGAAAAGAAATCTCTTCCAAATGCAAAACACAAGCAGAGGAGAGGAGTGTCAGTTTTAGTTTCACAGCACCAAGCAGCTTTAGGACAGAACAGTTGACCGCCGTTCCACCACTTTTGGAAAAGGGAGTTAAGCCAGCTGAGGAGGGGGGTTGTGATTCCCCTGGACCCCTGCCAGATCTCCCCTATCTTCAGTTAGCTCTACGGGGTAACTATTAGCCCCCAAATCCGGCTGGATCGAGGGCACTCCAGCGGCGAGCACAGCAGAGAGCACGCATGATTGCGGATTCTTGCCGCCGCCGAAGCCTTGCAAACCGGAAGTCCTAGTTTCTTAGCGAAGCACGGGTATCGAGCTAGTAAATAAATAAATAATACATACATTTCTTGTCTGTTCTGAGGAGCAAATAATCGGTTTTATTATCTCTTCCCCTTTCAGGTTCCTCATTTCAAGGTTGCTCCAGAAGAGTTCCTGAAGCTTCAGTTCCAGAGATTCACAACTTTGAACCTCCATCCCAGCAACACTGACATCAGTGTCGCCGTTGCTGGGATCTTGAATTTCTTCAACTGCACCACTGCCTGCCTCATCTGTGCCAAAGCTGAATGTAAGAACCGTCATCTAAGCTCCCCACCAGTAAACACTTAACCTTTGGTTTCCTGAGCATGTTGTGTCCGTTGTCGTGAGAATGCACACTGCATCTTCCCCTATGGAAGGCCAAGTGATTGCAGAACAAGGGAGACCAACCCATTGACCCATTCTGACCGTGGACACGCACAATTTGTGTTCACACAACAAGCCAATTAAAGACCTAGTGGGTTCATTCCCATGGCAAGCTAAGCTAAGCTGTCTTGTTTGTTTTTAATGGATGGGTGTGTTATGTGAACTCAACTATTAACCTTTCAAGTTAGACCATGTTGTTACTGTCTTTTCAAACTTTCTCCAAAGGCATTTTTTTTGACTCTCTATACCATCCCGCTTTCCCCTTGTATAATTCAGTGCATTGCACACAGGAGGCCATAAAAATGGATTAATTCAATCAACAGATTGACAGAGTTGGAAAGGACCTTGTAGGTCATCTAGTCCAAACCCCCCCCCCCCAAGCAGGAAGACCCTACACCATTTCTGACAGATGGCAGTCCAGTCTCTTCTTGAAAGCCTGCAGGGATGAAGCTCCCACAACTTCTGAAGGCAACTTCTGTTCCACGGGTTGATTGTTCTCCCTGTCAGAAAATTTCTCCTTATTTTCAGGTTGAATCTCTCCTTGTTCAGTTTCCATCCATTGTTCCTTGTCTGGCCTTCAGGTGCTTTGGAAAATAGCCTGACCCCTTCCTCCTCTCTGTGGCAGCCCCTCAAATATTGGAACACTGTCTCCCCTGGTCCTTATCTTAACTAGACTAGCTATGCCCAAGTATATTATATGAACTCAGATAACCTGTGACTGGTCCAGATGTGGCTAGTGGTTGTGAAACTGGGTTTCTAACTCTTGCTCCCATCCAGATGTTTTTATTGTAACCCTGGGTAGCTACGATTATTGTATTTTTGTCCCAGATTTCTCTAATGGAAGTTTTTCCTTTCGAACTCTGCCTTATTTTTCTTTGACCTCCAGTTCATCACTCATCTTGTGGGCTTTGAGAACCATCTAGCTATTTCTTCATTACTAATGGCAGAAAAGAATCAATGACATTTAAGAGGACAATTGGAAGGGAGGCAGCTAATCTCTCCCTTGTTTCATTGACCCTGTGTTAAGATTCCTGCTACTCTGTAGCCTTTAACAACAAGAAAAACACAGTCTTGCTTGTTCTTGATCTATATTTCTCTTCATTTGAGAGCCCTCATGGCAGTTCAATATCAATAACATGCTTTTTTGTCCTTTGTCTTAAACATGGAGTAGTAAAGAACAAAATCAGGAAGGCCAAGTCATCAGAATCTATGGCAAGGGTCTTCAAACTCGGCAAGTTTAAGACTTGTGGATTCCAACTCCCAGAATTCCTGAGCTAACATGACCGGAGAAGTAATCCTTGGGAGTTGAAGTCCACAAGTCTTAAAGCTGTCAAGTTTAGGGTCCCCTGGTCTATGGAGATCCTCCATCATCCAGGTCATGGTTGTCTCAAAGGTGCTTTTCCAAAAGGCACCTGGATTTTCTTTGTGTTTGCTTGAAGACATTTCACTTCTCATCCAAGAAGCTTCTTCAGTTCTGACTTCAGAACTGTCTGAACACTCAGAACGGAAGAAGCTTCTTGGATGAGGAGCAAAACGTCTTCAAGCAAACACAAATAAAATCCAGTTGCATTTTGGAAAAGCACTTTTGGGCCAAGCCATCAAGCAATTGGGGAGTGTTTCAACCTTCCCTATGCCTCAACAGCAGCACAACACCACATATATCTTAACCAACTCGTATCCTTGTATAAACCCAAGACATGGCACACTAGAGCAGTGCAACATACTTGCTGGGGAGTAATACACATGCTTAGTGTTTAATTTTTCTCCGCTTCATTTGTTCTTTCGTTTAACTGGCTAGAACAGCTCAGAAACCAGATTGCTTTTAAAATAGCATGGCCCCCACCATTAATTGAGTCAGGCTGATTGCTTTTAATCACGTGTGACTGAACGAGCTGGCTGCCAGCTGAGTGCAGCTGGGAAGAGGGCTTAAGCTGTGACATCAAACTACAAGCCTGAATTATGGGCAGCCCCTTGGCGATAGCCCAGTTTATAACAGGACCAGGGAGGGAGAAAGGAACCTTTTCCCATTCTAGTTCATGCCTTATCCCCTTGAAATTCTTTCTCTAATCAAGATGCATTTCTGTAAAAGGAGCACTGTGAATATTTTTTCTTTTTCCCTTATGATTTAAATTCTCTTTATCTAACCTGGAGAAGATTGAACGGAGGGAAGACGGTTGAGTTCTTATTTAAAAGCCAGGTGCCGAAGTGCTTTTTTTTTTTTTTTTGCAAGAAGTTTTGCTTTTCATCTTTTTACTTGAAATCAAACAACTTCCATATTGATTGAGATTATTTAAGAGGAAAAAGCAAACACTTTTCCACGTGTGTTCATTTTGCTAACTTTCCTAGTCCTTAATCAAGTTCAGCAACTCTTTGGCTATTTTCTGAAGCAACACAATTAGATTCTGGTGATGGCAGTGAGACCAACTGAGTAACCTTTGCAAAAGATCTTGAGGAAGGAAGGTCACTGCATTTCAAGAATCCACCGCCACTTACGGATAATTGGCTGAAGGGCCAATCAGTATTATGAGAACGTGAGCATAGCCTTGTTAAAAACATGGTTAAGTCCAATGTCAACTCATAAAATATTTCCATGGTCTTTTTAGACTTACCAACAGAAAGGGAGGAAGAGAGCAGTGGGATAGCTTGCAAACCGAAACTGCATTCCATAAATGTTTTCAAAGATAGTAACTAGGTGACTGAAGTTTCTGCCACACAAAATCTAACTGGAGAGCATGATTGATGACTCTTGGCTATGGATGTGTCCCATTGGAGAGTATGAATTATGATACACCCAGGGAGTGGGGGAAAAACCAGGGTCAAGGCTAACAATGAATGAAGTGTCTCAGAGTTGGCTACACCCAGGCAATGCCGCATCTTTTAACTCCCAATAAATCCTTTTGAAGTTTTGGAAGTTGGCCTTGAGACTCATGATTTAAATGGGGTTTAAGTGCTGGAACCCTGACATCCATCTTGCCTGCATTCCATCTTAAATGGTGGTCTCTACCAGATACGTCTAAGAAGCCCACCTTATTCCAAAATTTTCTCCCCTGCTTTTATAATCCGCCTGTTTCTAGTTTGCTCAGACAGTGTATGCCAAGGGTCTTCAAACTTGGCAAGTTTAAGACTTGTGGACTCCAACTCCCAGAATTCCTGAGTTAACAGGACTGGGGGAGGAATTCTGGTAATTGAAGTCCACAAGTCTTAAAGCTGTCAAGTTTGGTGTATGCACTTCTTCCACTGCCCACGTGATTCTCTCCAAAATCACTAAAGAAGATTTGGCTTGATATTCACATTGGTCTTTCCTACAGGAGATTGATAAAGAATAGAGCCGTCAGCGACATGTAAAATAGGTTCCTGTGTTTAAAGAATCCTATTGCTAAATGCCAAAAGTGGGGGCAGAAACATAGTTTATTTGATTTATTTTTATTTGATTTATAAATATATATATGGTCACTCTCTCTCTCGGGCGGCTCACAAAAATTAAAAACCCAGGATACAACGCGGTGGCTCAGGGGCTAAGACACCGAGCTTGTCAATCAGAAAGGTTGGCAGTTTGGCAGTTCGAATCCCTAGCGCTGCATAACGGAGTGAGCTCCCATTACTTGTCCCAGCTTTTGCCAACCTAGCAGTTCGAAAGCATGTAAAAAATGCAATTAGAAAAATAGGGACCCCTTTGGTGGGAAGATAACAGTGTTCCATGCGCTTTCGGCATTTAGTCATGCTGGCCACATGACTACAAAGATGTCTTTGGACAGCTCTGGCTCTTCAGCTTAGTAACGGAGATGAGCACCGCCCCCTAGAGCCGGAACGACTAGCACGTAGGTGTGAGGGAACCTTTACTTTATACAACAATAAGAACAATAACTCCCACAACCTCCTCTGGTGACAGCAATGATTCAAACAAGCCATTTGATGGGCTCCGTCCCACTCTGGGTTCCCAAGGACTGTTGGCAAAACTGGGTCTTCAGGGCCTTGTGAAAGAGTGTCGAACTGGACACAACTTTAATCTCTGCAGGGATGATGTTCCAAAGGGAGGGAGCTACCACAGAGAAGGCCATTCTTCTGGGTCCTGCCAGATGTAGGAGGGGAGACCCAAAATGTTCCCTGCCTCCCCGCTCTGGTGGGTTGGGTGGATATAGTCATTGGGTGGATGTCCTTCAGATAACCTTACAGCATTTTTGACCCTACATCATTTTAATCCTCCCTTGGGAATTTTGAGTTGACTATTTCTTAGACTAGAATGTTCTTGTGTTTTAATGAAAAGAAGGACTAGGGGTGACATGATAGCAATATTCCGATGCTCAGGGGTTGCCACAAAGAAGGGGTCAAGCTTCCATGGAACCTTGGGTCGTCATCGTAATCCGTTCCAGGACTATGGTCACTACCCAATTTGGTTGTGACTGGAAGTACTACCATCTATGCATGCACGGACCAAAAAACCAAAAAAATGTGGTGCCAAAGGGGAAATCACTGTGGCAATTTTCAGGTTTGCTTGGTCGCCACCCGAAGATTCTGTTCACGACCAGAAGCAAAACTGTTCTGAAAATTTTGGTCATCAGCCGATTTGGTCGCAAACAGAAGTGTTCGTGACCAGGGGTGGAATTCATGTTTTTAAATAACCGGTTCTGTGATCATGGCTTAGGTGGTGGGCGTGGCTTGGTGGTCATGTGACTGGGTGAACATGGCTTGGTGGTCATGTTATTGGCTGGATGTGACCAACTCAACATCACTCACATCGAGGCACGCATCTCCTCGTCTGGCCTTTCATGACTGTGAGGATGCTGCAACAGTCATAAGTGCGAAAAATGGTCAAAAGTCACTTTTTTCAGTGCCATTGTAACTTTAAATGGTCACTCCACACAAGCAAAGTACCAGCAAAGGAGG